CCCTGCCTAGCCGCCCTGCCCGGTTAGGAGCGGCCCTCTGAGTCCAGCCTCCTGGGCACCGGAGGCGCCGCTGCGGCCCCGCTCGCGGCGAGGCGCGGACAGGGCTCCCGGGGCTCGGTGCAGGGCCCCGCCCACCAGCGAGAGGCGCGGGTCTACCGCGGCCATCCCCGGCCGCCGCGCCCCGGGGGAAGGTCTCGGGGTGGGCGGTTCGGAGCTCCGCGAGCTCCAGGTCCCGGGAATCCCAAGGGTCCCGAGGTCCTGGGTGCGGCGGGGAAACTCACGTGCCCTCCGTCATGATGCCGCTCAGCAACCTCAGCCTCAGCTTCGAGGGCCGGCCACCACACTAAACCAGCCGCGCGACCCGCCCACCCGTCCCTCTGGGGGCGGGACCTCAGGCCGGTCCCGCCCATCACGCTCACTGCGCAGGCGCAAGCTCAGCTGAGCGGTCGAGTGAGATGGGCCGAGGTCCGCAGAGCCAATCACGACGCCGTGGGGGTGGACCCAGGACTCAGCTAAGCCTCGGCACTGGTCCCGCTCGACACGTCCGAGAGCTTCGGAGGGCTGAGCCGGAGATAAGACGGGACCGGTGGGCGGGACCTACCAGCCCCAAGCTGCCTTGATCCGCTGACCGGCGGGCTCCGCCGCCTCGGTGCGTTGAGCCCCGCACCGGACCCTGCAGCCCCGCGGAGTGCCGCGTGAGGAAAGTCTGCCCTAGGGCTCCGTGAGCGAAAGACCTGGCCACCCACTTGGGTCACGAGTGTTGTTAGGTAACATCGAGCAGGTTCCACCCTGCCTGCCTTCGCCCCCGCCCCCACCAGCCTTCCGATAAATACCAGGGACTGCCAAAAGACAGACAAAGCTGGCTTGCAGTACAGTCAGAACGCTCCTCAGGGGCAACGAGGACACCAGCTTACATACTTTGGACATGTTGCCAGGAGACCAGTCCCTGGAGAAGGACATGACTGTGCTCGGTAAAGTGGGGGGTGGGGGGAAGGTTAGTTTGTTCTTTTGGCAGTTCCTGGTACTTTCAAAATTCTTCACCAGCACCATAATTCCGATGCACCATAATTCCTATGCATCGATTTTTCTTCAGTCTTCTTTATTCAGTGTCCAACGTCCACATGCACATGAGGCAGTTGAAAATACCAGGAGGCTTGGGTCAGGTACACCTTAGGCCTCAAAGTGACAACCTTGCTCTTCAACACTAAAGAGGTGTGCAGAGATTTACCCAAATGCAATGAATGCATCATTTGATGTCTTGACTGCCGCGTCCATGATCGCTGAATCCGGTGCCAAGCTAAATGAAGCCCTTGACAACTTCCATCTTTTCTCCGTTTATCATCATGTTGCCTGTTGGCCCAGTTGTGAGAGTTTTCGTTCTCTTTATATTGTGTTGCCGTCCATGTTGAAGGCTGCAATCCTTGATCTTCATCACCAAGTGTTTCAGGGCCTCACGTTCAGTAAGCAAGGTTGTGTTGCATATCAAAGTTTGTTAGTAAGTCTTCTTCGAACCCTAATGCTTCACTCTTCTTATAGTTTGACTTCTCAGATTATTTACTCAGCACACAGATTGAATAAGTATGGTGAGAGGACACAACCCTGACACACACCTTTCCTGATTTTAAACCATGCAGTATTCCTTTGTTCTGTTTGCACATCTGCCTCTTGATCCATGTACAGGTTCTGCATGAGCACAATGAAGTGTTCTGGAATTCTCATTCTGTCCACTGCTATCCATAATTGGTATGATCCACCTAGCTGAATCCCTTTATTACATAATCAATAAAAAACAAGTAAACATTTTTTCTGGTATTTCTTGCTTTGAGCCAAGATCCATCTGACATCAGCAATGATATCTTTTGTTCCACACCCTCATCTAATTCCAGTTTGAGTTTTTGGCAGTTTCCTGTGAATGTATGCTGCTGCAACCGTTGTTGAATGATCTCCCACAGTTTTACTTGCATGTGCTATTAATGATCTTGTTCTGGAATTTCTGCATTCTGTGCGGTCGCTTTTTTTTGGAATGAGGACAAACATGGATCTCTCCCAGGTGGTTGACAAGGTAGCTGTCTTCCAAATTTCTTAGCGTTGATGAGTGAGTGCTTCCAGTGCTTCATCAGCATGCTGAAATATTTCTATTTGTGTTCCATCAATTCCTGGAGCCCAGCTTTTCATTCATTCAGTGCAGCTTGGACTTATTCCTTCAATGTCATCTGTTGTTGACCATATTCTACCTCTTGAAATGGTTGAAAGGTCAAAAGCTAGAGATAAGAATTGGAGGGGAGGAGCATCATCTGTTTTCTGGCCATGTTTGAAATCATGAAATCATCTAGGAAACGACTGTTAGTGAAAAGATGAGCTCTGGACCACCAGCCTTTTCTGGTTTATGGGACAGTGAATCACTTAAGATGAGCTCTGGACCACCAGCCTTTTCTGGTTTATGAGACAGTGAATCACTTGACTATGGCCTACTCCAATTGATTGGGTGAAACCATGCGTTCATCTGAATAGACTAGAGAAACAAATTCATAGACTTATATGGGTATAAGAAAGAGCTTTATATAAAGAGTAATTGTACATTAAAAAAGCATCCCAGTCCAGATCAAGTCCATAAGTCTGATATTAGCCCATATATCTGATACCAATCTATAAAGTCCTCTTCAGACTCATGAAGCACATGCAATGACACCAAATGTAGGAAGATCACAGGCCAGAGAATGGGAAGTCTTGTGGATCCAGTGGCATTGTAAGCATCTCAGCACTGGCAGGGGTCTCCACATGGCTTCTCCAGCTCCCAGGGCTCTGGCTACATCAGGGTAGGTCCATATGGCTTCTCCTCAGGGATTTCTTGCAGCGAGTGAGCAGAGAGAGAGTGTCTCCCACCTCTAAGGAGAAATATAGGAATTCCCAGAATCCTCAGGAGAAGGTTATACCCATACAGAGTCTTCACTGGCTATGAACTGATTGACAGGCTGGACTCCACCCCTTCACTCTGAATCCTCAAATTGACACCAGATTATGTAACTACCATAGACCATGCAAAGAAGGTGCTTGTAGCCCCCTGTGACAATTTTGCTAATGCAATTAAAGAGCATTGAATCCTTGCAGGGAATTGGTGAGCTTTGTCATTCTGACAGGCTTAAAGGGAGTCAATCTCAGAGGATAGAGGGAGACCTTATTACCATGAAGAAGAGCCAGGAGTGAAGTGTGTCATTTGGATCTATCCTGCCGACACTGAGAACCTCCTAAACCCAGGAGAAAGGAATAATGGTGTAGGTGGCTATGGCACTAAATGCAGGAACCAGGAAAGCAGCAGGAGATGGTGGAGCAGGCTTCTCACCTCACAGAGTGAGGCAACTAAAATCTGCTTCCCATCCTGTGGAGCAAGAGCTGTGGGCAAGTGGGCAGGCAGCCCGCAGCAGGTGGCATGCTTCCAGGAATTTGTCCACAGAGCGAAAGAGCTTGGGAACACTTGTCAAAGCAAGACAGAAGTCAGGCGGAGAGCCAAGGACTGGAAGAGGCCTGCCGACAGCACAGCCCAAAATCTGCTGTCCTCATCACAGAATTGTTCCAGTTACCTCTAAGTACGCATGCTAAATTGTAACGTGATCTCAAAAAAATAAAGACAACCCTCACTGACGTCAAGTCGATTCACTCACAGTGACCCCCTAAGTAGAACTGCCCCTGTGGGTTTCAGAGACTCGTTACAGGAGTAGAAAGTCTCACCTTTCTCCCTGTTGGAACCTGTTACTTCCCTAATCCCCTTTATCATTGTGAGATTGATCGCTGAGTTGTGTGAGGCCATTGCAATGAATTATCATGCCCAGCAGAATAGAGTGCCTTGGGAGGGATGACTGGGATTAGAACTGGTAAAAGGCCTCAGTGGAGGTAAGTCTGACCTCTCTATAGATCAGTTTTAGGCGGTCTTGTTTCTTGTCTTGAGCACCTTAAAACAGTTCCAAAGGAGGGGGGAGCGAGGAGGGAGGGGGAAAATGAAGACCTAATGCCGGGGGTTTAAGTGGAGAGGAAATGTTTTGAGAATGATGAGGGCAATGAATGTACAAATGCGCTTTACACAATTGATGTGTGTAGGGATTGTGATAAGCGTTGTATGAGCCCCCTAATAAAATGATAAAAAAAAAAAAAACAGTTCCAAAGACAATGTTTAGGAATCAGTTGGCTTATGCCCTGGGACAGCAACCTTTCAGTCTCTAAGCTTCGCACAGTGACTAGGCCAGGTTCTTTCACGAGCATAACGCACTCTGTGAGCCAGTCTTTTAACCGATTTATTCCAACAGGCCTTCACACATATCAATACCAGCAAGACCAAGGGAGAGAGGGAGTTCTGTTCCTTTACAGCCATCAGAAGCTCTCCCCCTGGACTCTTAACTGGATTCTTATACAATTTTGGAGGGGGTGTACCTATAGGTGTGGTGGTGGGTGTTCAGTCCAATAAGGGGTGCACCCTCAAGTGTTTGGTCTAATAACCTTGGATTCTGGCCAGTTTGAGTTTCCGTCTTGTCAGCCATTTTGTTGTTTACTTCTTTATTCTTCTTGTCAGCCTTCTTATTGTCCGTGGTTACTCCATTTTGTATGCTCTGTTCATTTCTCCACCACCCACCCTCACCTTGTGAAGTTAGAAGACCTTGGATACCACATCATTGTGGTGTAGTGGTTAGGCGTTGGGCTACAATCTGCACGGCGGTTGGTCGTTCAAAACCAGCAGCAGCTCCAAGGGAGAAATACTGAGCTTTCTATTCTCATAAACAGTTGCAGTCTTGGAGACCCAGAAGGGGTTGCTGTGAGTCAGCATTGGCTCGATGGCAGTGAGTTTGGCTTCTATATTAAAAAGGAGCAGCCAGTAAGGAAAGGGAACATCACTAGGCCGGGCAAAGACATGGCGATCTGTGCCAAGGATTTGGAGGAACTGAGTCACATGAGGACTTTGAGCACTAACAGTGACCTGAATGTGGGGAGGCAAAATCCACTAGTGACTGACACGAGGGTTGAGGAGAAAAGTCCAGTTGCAGACTAAGGATAGGCAATGACCTCCATTCCCCAAACAGCAAGCAATAAAAGAGCTTAAAAGTCTACAAGGATAGAATAGAGCACCAGTAAGCAAGTCATGTCCGCAGACTTCTATAGCTGGTGATCAAAGGAGGAGTGCTGACTTTGAAAGCAAGAGAAAGGGTGGGAGGTAGGGAGGATAAAAAGAGTTGCTGATACCAAGGGCTCAAATAGAATGTAAATGTTTAGAAAATAACGATGGCAACATATGTACAAACATGCTTGATACAATGGATGTATGGATTGTTGGAAGAGCCCCCAATAAAATGATTTAAAAAAAGAAAGAAAGAAAGAGA